TTCTTTTTCATAAGAACTATGATGAGAATTCTGTTGTGTTGCATTTTTTAACAATTGGATTAAGAAAATACTTTTGATAAATTTACAATATTCATTCCATATTAAATAATTTTTTTCAGATTTGACACAAATTATCAAATATACAATTTTAAGGGTCTATTTAATGAACTTCACATATACACTTAATGAGCAGTCAGATTTGAATGATTTCTTGAGTTCAATGGGCAAAAACAGTAAATATGCTTTGCTGTCAATTAATTGTGTTTTAGTATTAATTTTTAAAGGCTAAACTGTGTTCTGAGAAATGTAAAATTAATAAAAAATATAATAACAATCTTGGCCAGGAATGATGGTAAAAATTTTGATGCTTAACATGCTTTTGCCTTTCTTGTTTAACATACTTACACTGATTTATTTATTCTCCTCTTGTCTTCAAAGTTTATAAATGTGAGGCTTAAAATGAAAAATGGCTGGAGATCTATAAGATATCTAAAATATAATACATACTTGAAGAAAACAGGTAAAATCAATATCAGAAAAATCTAAGCATTACTTCACATATACATATTTAAAGGGAGTATGGATACATGAAATATAATCATAGTGTATAATTCAGCTGCATATACTTTTTTCTATAAGCAACATAACAACCTCATTAATTTTAACATTCACATCTCCCACTTGTTAAAAAGGTGGATAATCCAGTAATTATTCATGTCACTCCTGGATCTGAAACTTGGGTCTGTGTTATTACGAATACAGAATTATTATTCTACCAGACATAGTTATATATAAGATTGCGTATTAGAGAAACTAATGGGACTACTATAGTACTTGCTGATAAACTTCTAAACTTTCACCCAAACTACAAATAAATAATAATGATAATAGTTATATGTAAACCACTGTTTCACTACATTCATGAATTAAAGTTGAGCACTCACCTTATTGAATATAGAACATTTCCATTTTTGAAAATTCTTAGCAATTTGTTGTCTGTGGTAACTTCATGGAAATTGGCACCCTTCTCATTGGCAAAGAATAAGTCAGGCTTCCAAATAGAATCCAGCATGGAAGGGTCTAAGTCTAAGGAATCATCAGGATATTCACTGTATGCAAGGCGAGGGTCATTCCATTTCTGACGAAGAAAGATATTCACTCTGTAATCCTATGATAAAAGATTTAAAAAAAGGCACATCTGCTTTATACAGTCTAGATTTATACAGTCTAAAAATATTTATACAGTCTAAAAAGATTTTTAAAAAGACACATCTGCTTTATACAATCGCATAGGCTATTGTTTGAGTTTTTCTAAATGATTATAGATCGCCAATAATCTGGTGAATCTCTGTATCACAGTTATCATTCATTACTAATTGATCGGAGTTTTCTTCATCTTTCATTACTCAAGATAGGGAGACACCAATACGTGGATCTTAGATAATCGCTAAGATCCCTCTTGTTCTCCCCACAGTAAGTGGTAGAAGGTTGCATCTTCAGACTATGTGAAGCCAATTACCTTGGTACCTTCCTGACCCGGACAGCAAACTGCGGCTCTAGAGCCATATGTGACTCTTTTGATACATACATGCGGTGCTGACGTAAAATTGAAAAATGTTAAAGGCTATTATTCCAATAGGGTGATTTCATTTGTCTGTAGAAACATACTTATGATTTTTGAACAATTTTTAAATTATTGTGAGGGGCAGGATTGCCGCTTCCTTCTCAAACGTTCGCCAACCCCTGCTCTGGTTGTAGTCCTGAATCCCCATCCCCAATGATCCATTCTCTCAGGGCTTTTGCTTATGATTACATTTTTATGACACTCTGTGCTCTGCTGCATTTTTGGCTAAATTTCAGTCCATACCAATACACGTGTTGTAATGTTCTCTCTCTCCACACACACATTCATAGGTCTAGTCCCATTTTCTTTTCCATCCCTGTTTCACTTGCCTGTTTATCTATATAGCTATTCATAGATTATTGCTATTACTCTTTTATTTAAATCATTTTATTAGGGGCTCATACAACTTTTATCACAATCCATACATACATCAATTGTGTAAAGCACATTTGTACATTCATTGCCCTCATCATTCTCAAAACATTTCCTCTCCACTTAAGCTCCTGGCATTATGTCCTCTATTGCTATTACTCTTATTGAAAAATTATGATTGTAATAGTATTTAAAATTTTTACCTTTAACTCTTATGCTCATTCGTGTGTCTTTGTTTGCCTTCATCATTTGGGCAGATCTCCCTCTATTGTATATTTAGGGTTTGCTTCACTCAAGCTCATATGTATCTTTAGTAAGCAGTTTACTCCACCCCTTCCATCCCTGGTAACCTTCTGTTAGTAAGCTGATTCTAGACTTCTTACACTAATGTTCTGATAAAACATTTGTCCTTATGCAACTGTCCAGTTTCTCTCAGCACAAGTTACCCCAGGTTCTCCCTGTGATGCGGTGTCTTACAAGTTCATCTCCATTCTTTAAAGGTGGATGCTCTTCCATTGTGTGGATGTGCCATTCATTCACTGCTGAGAATTTAAGTGGTTTTCACCTTTTTCTATTGTCAATAATTGTATTATGTGCACTAGTGTGCATATAGTTATTCACGTCATGTCTTTTGTGTTTAACTGCTAGATCTTATGGTATTTCTATTTCCAAATTTTTAAGAAAATACCATACCAGTTCTCACAATGCACCATTTTACATTCTCACCAGGAGTACATGCGGGTTCCAGTCTCGCCATGTGTTAACCAGCAGTGGTGCTTACATTTGTTTGTTCATTTTCTACATTGCTATTAACGCTAGGCTGTAATGCTATTTCACTCTTGATTTGAATCTCTCTAATGGTAAATGATTATCAGCATATTTTATGTATTTGTTGAATATTTGAATGTCTTAATCCACCAGAAATATGAATATCTTACCTTCCAAGACGAAGTGAACTTGTGATTAAATTTAAATTGTGATTAAATTTAGTATCTTAAGCTAGACTTACACAGGTTAGAACAATGTAATTACAAAGGTAACTATAGGTGCCTAGGTTGACAGGAGAATGAGTATCAAAGTTATGTGATATGAGCAATATTTGGTCACCCAGTGCTATATTTTAAGATGGAGGATGAGGGCCATGATTCAATGAAAGTTGACATCCACTAACCCATCTAGGTGGTGGGTATTATTTATAAGTCAACAGGAGAGGAAGAAAGGGACCAGACTTCAACCTGGTGCACCAAGACATGAATGCAACATACCAGCATGAAGCAGTGAACCAACAGAGAGGTCTGTGGGGCTGACCCCAATCCCAACTAAGTAGGACTCCCCACCTCCCCAGAAGAATGCACTTCAGTGCAGCTCAGGGAGAGAGGTGCTTCTGATCAGGAACAAAAGAAGAGGGAAGAAGAGAGAGTGGAACACTTTGTGGCCCACCAAGCCCCAAGGATGATATTCTCCCTCAAAGCAGCAATGCACAGAGAGGACCATAGGGCCAGCCCCACCATGAGACACAACGTCCCTTACTGACCCATAGTGCAACAGGGGACAACACTGGAGGCACAGTGTGGGAATTGTGCCCGATCTGACCCAACCACAATGGGGTGAAACACTAGGGGGCATGCAACAGAGCAGCAAAGGGAGCAAAGCACTGAAGTCCCCAGGGAATACCAAAAATAGACTTTAATAGCAGGGCATGAGTGCTCCATCAGACACGACTAGAAAATATTCCTAAAGGTCAAAAACCAGACCTGTAACTATTATAGGCTTTTCTTTTTGTGCTGTTGTTTTTTTGTTGCTGTTTTGTTTTCTTTTGTTATATTTTGCTTGGTCTTGTTTTTGTACTCATTATTGTTGCTGCATGTCTATCTAGATAAGACAGGTGGGATAAACAATCTGAAGGAGAAAACTAACCGGGCTGATGGTTCCTGGGGGACATGGGAAATGGGGAGAGGTGGGAATTCAGGGGGGTTCCAACAAACCCAGAGACAAGAGAACAACAAGTGATCTAAAATTGATGATGAGGAGGACATAGGATGCCTAGTGGGGCTTGATCAAGGGCAATGTAGCCTAGAGGAATTACCAAAACCCAAATGAAGGCCAAACATGATGGTGAGACAAGAGTAAAGTAAAAGGAAATAGAGGAAAGAACTTGGAGGCAAAGGACATTTATAGAGGTCTAAATTCAGGCATGTACATATGTATATATATATACATTTATATATAATGATAGGGTAACAGATATATATACATATATTTATCTGTTAAGTAGTAAGGCAACAGATGGAAATTGGGCCTCTAATCAAGTACTCCCTTAACTCAAGAACACTTTGTTCTACTAGCCCAGCATTCTGTGATGCTCACCTTACCTGACATGATCACTGAAGACAAATGGGTGCATAAGCAAATGTAGTGAAGAAAGCTGATGGTGCCAGGTTATCAAAAGCTATAGTGTCTGGGAGTCTTAAAGGCGTGAAGACACACAAGCGGCCATCTAACTGACAGGCAACAAAGCCCACATGGAAGAAGCACACAGCCTGTGTGATCACGAGTTGTTGATGGGACCAAATATCAGGCATCAAAGACCCAGAACAAAAATCATATGAATGTGAATGAGAGGGAGGGTGGAGTGGAGACCCAAAACCCATCTGTAGAAAATAGGACCTCCCCTTACCTAAGGGTAACAAGGAAGAGACGAGCCAGTCAGGGTGCAGTATAGCACCAATAAAGCATATATCTTTACTCTAGTTCTTTAATGATCCCGCCCCATTGTCACAACCCCAATTTCAACTTGCTGATCCGGCTAGATCAGAGCATGTACACTGGTACAGACAAGAGTTCCCAACATGGAATCCTGGACAGATAAACCCCTCAGGACCAACAATAAGGGAGTAGCGATACCAGGAGGGTAAGAGGAAGGTGTAGGGAGAAAGAGGGAACTGATCACAATGACTGACATATAACCCCTGCGTAGGGGGACAGACAACAGAAAATTACGTTAAGGCAGTTCATGGTCAGGGAAAGACATTAAAAAAATAATAATTTATAAATTATCAAGGGATCATGAGGGGGGACAGGGGAATGAGCTGAAACCAAGGGCTCAAGTAGAAAGAATATGCTTTGAAAATGATGATAGCAACCTATATATAAATGTGCTTGATTGACACAATGGATGGATGGATGGATTGTGATAAGAGCTGTAAGAGCCCTCTATAAAATGATTTTTTTTAAAGTTGGCATCCCATGAAAGCTTGAAAAAAGAAATGGAATGGATTCTGCCCTAGAGCTTCCAAAGGAAATGCAGGTAGGGTGAAATATTCATTTTAGCCAATGAGAAATTGTAGGCTTCTTACCTCCAGAAATGTAGCATTATGTGTTTTACCAAGTCACTAAGTCTGTGGTTATTTGTTGTAGTAGAAATCGACAGTCCATAGCTTTAAAATTATTTACACACATTCATTTTGTTATTGATGAGTTTTCTAGAACAATATAGATATATACACAATTTTTTGGGGGGGGTCACTCACTTGAGAGGGTAAAACATTTAAAGCAAAATGATGGGATTTGTACCAAACTCATCATGCTTTATTGTTGCTGTCGATTACAATTCATGATAACCCCTTGTACACTGGAATACAATTTTCAAGGCTATGATTTCTTGGAAGCAGATGGCCAAGCTTGTCTTATAAGATGTCGCTGGGTGTATAGAGCCATAATTAGTTACCCAAACAACTTCTGAAGGATTCGAAGATAATGTACTTCTCTTAAAGAAAGAAGGAAACATCCTAAACTTCGTCATGACTGTGCCACAGGTTTAATTTTAGAACATGTCTTAAGACTAAAGCACTGCTTAAGATAGGTTTCCCTTTGAGAATGATGATGGCAACAAATGTATACAAGTGCTTGACACAATGGATGGATGGATGGATTGTGATAAGAATTGCACAAGCCCCAATAAAATGATTTTTTTTAAAAAGATTAGCATCATTCTGCCTTGTGGGGCTGGTTAAGGATAAAGGGCTTTGTGAAGTCTGTATATCTATCCCTCCATATATGAGATAATTAACAACTATTAAACAATTACCAAAAAGGATAGGTTTCGCTGCATTACAAAGAACAAAACATGACTATGCAATGGTGTGAAAATTGCTTCTGGTGTCATCTCCATA